CAGTTTTTCAGTGTTTTGGCGGGAAAAATATGCGGGATCAACTTTTCCCGCCAAAAAATATTTTGTATTTTGTGGACCGAATTTTGTTATATTTCCTTATATATTTGTGATATCTTTTATTAAAAGAAAGGTAATTTAGTCATTTTGTACATAAAAGGGGTATTTTTAAAAATGGACAGCCAAATGGGGCATTTTTGAAAAAGGGTATTAAAAAAGGGGCATTTTTGTGAGTCTCCCTAGAAATTTTAATGAAACAACTTCAAATATCGGCCGATCCATTTAAAACCCTAGCGACCCACGTTGATACTTGAATCTGATGTTGGAGGATTTCACTAAGTGATTTGTTGCTGTTAGTATTGTTAAATTTAGGTTGGTTATCTAGTTCTAGAGCCCAATATATTTCATGCACCAAAAATGTTTGATGCGATGTCTAAATCAATTTTGATAGAGTAAAATTAACCTTGTCAGTGAGAATTAAAATCATGAGACTAGAATTAAAGTCATGAGACTTCATGATTTTAGCGAACCCATTCCTAATGCTCACTACTCACTTATTTACAAATGAAGATATAGTAAATCTAAGTTATTAGTGAAGGTGGTCAAAACCTTTAGAGAATTTAATCTCATTTTAGTGATACGGGCTCTACGAAACCCATTATTTGTTTATCCATTTTTTTTTTTTTTTACAATTTTTCGATTTGTGCGTGTCATTTTTGCGCATAAATCATATGCTAATCTGCTCTGTATCATTTCAATTTATCGGATGTCCCCCAAAAATCTTAGTTTTTATTTTATTTTATTGTTATTCTTTGATCATATATTGATTATATAAATCGAGTATTTCTTTAACATTTGCTAAACCATTGCTTGCTATTGTCTAATTTCTACTTGTTTATCTTTTTTAGTTTCTTTGCTTAGTTTTATGTTTTTGCATTGCTTTTTTTCTTTTTACTTTGTAAGTAATTTCTACTTGTTTAACTTTAGAAACGAATAGCAAAACCAAATCTCCTTTTGTCTTGGCTTAATTCTACTCTATCATCTCTAGGCGTAACAATTTTGTTTTTATGGATTCGGCACTCATAATCATGGGAAAGAACATCAAACAACGAATTATCACGACCTAATAGGTCAGATTTGTTTCTAAATTATTTTTTCAAAAAAAAAAGAGAAAGATTTGTTTCTAGATTTTTATCCTTTCTTCAAGAATTTACCCCTTTCCCATTTCCTGCAATTCCCGACTTAGAGGATTGAGAAGGTACATTGACATAAGGGAAAACTTATTTAAATCCATTCAAAATCAATTCTGATAGTAACTATAGCACCATTAGAACGTTGAACACTCTTTGATCGCTTTGGAGTTTTAGAGACATCAAACAAAAACATGCACTAGATCTTATGAAGTTTTTGTTCTGTTAATTAAGACGGAGCAAACACAATTTCCACAACACTTGAATCTGCGATATAAGTTAACACGCCATCTTTGTGTATAGTTTTTTTTTTAGACTATTTGCGGACAAAAATCTGTTAATTATTCCACTGATCTCTTAAAAGAAACACTAATTAGAGCATGATTATTGGTAGTATCTTAGAAATAAATCTTATGAATATTTAAGTAATATATTTGTAAAAGTGATAGTTAAGAGATAGTATTTTTGGGTTAAAATTTTTGTGTGATTAATGGTAGGTTCTCATGCGGTTCTTAGAAAAAAAAATATTAATATAAAATAAAATTTATAATTATAGAAAATTTAATAATTGTTGCAAATTAAAAAAATTAAAACATGAGATACAATTTATAATGGGAAGATGATGCCATTTACAATGTAGAATTGTTTTGGATTTTTTTGTGTAAAAATAGAAGCCTTGGCGTAGATAAGAAATTGGAGATTTTAGTTGTAGGAAAGAAAAAGAAGCCTTGGAGATTTTTGTTGCAAGTAACTGTTTTTAGAGTAAAAAAGAAATAGAGGCGTTGGTATTTTTTTTGTTTGAAGTTTGTAAGAGGAAAAGAGTCTGAAACTTATTGATATTACAAAGCGATATTACATGGTCATATTTATAGTGGACTACACAAAACATATACATGGTTAAGAAGCAAAGTTACTTGTGGTACAAAGCAAAGTGAAACATGTGGTTACAATGAATACTTGTCATGTCCGTGAACAAAGTCTCCTGTTCTTATCTTCCCCACCAAAAACAAGCACTCCGGATCCAACCAGTGTAATGGAATGTCCACCACGTGAAGCCTAGAAAACATATAAGGTATATAACTAACTATCCAAAACAGCTACATATGGAGCGAGCAATAACTTAGATAACAGTTTTCTTACTGGAACATTCCCAGACACATCAATGACTCCACATAAATGTGTTTCCAAATCAATGAACCACACTGTAAGAAAAGAATTAAACAAACAAATAAGAATTTGAAAGAGCATCCAATCAGAAGCAAAGTTGGATATGGCTAACCTGACATGTTATCTGATGACTTCTTGGAGTGTCCCCCAATCAAAAGAAGCTTGTTTCCCCACTTAATCTGCCAAAATGCTTCAAGTTTAAACATTTTTTAAGTATTGATTACAAAATTCTTCTTCATGTAAAGGACTTACCATGCGGTGGTCTGAAATAGCAGAAAAAGCTTCCCGTAAACTGCTACCATCATCCTCTTGAATGTTCTCAGTACTTGATGATTCAGTTTTCAGTTTCAAACTCGACCAAGTCAAACTTCTAAGATCAAACACCTGATGAGTTGAGTTTTTCAAATTACCACAGATTCATGAAAACAAAAGGAAGATACAGACACAAAGAAGAAAACACAGAATTTACCTGGACATCAGATAAGTATCGGCCATTACGGCTTCCAGAGAACACACGAAAAGGTTTAGGGAGAAATTATCTCCAATTTAATCAAATGCTTAACCACAGACAAAAATCTAATCAATGACCTTGTAGCGAGCTGATGCTGGTGAGCCGGAAACAGGGAGTGGTGTCCATTCATCGTGAGCGAGATTTGAATGCCAATCACCAAAATCTATTTCTTTCCTGATGTCTTCCATTACCAAAGACTACGTCACAACTTCACTCTGCCATTTTTGAGAACAAAAGAGTTTTGATATCAATATGATTTAGCAATTGGATACAAGAAACTCTATAATCAAGTAGATGATACGACTTCTAAAATCCAGAACTGAGCTTATCACGATCCTATGGAAAAACACAAGCCAATTCTGTGAATTTCATAAAGCAAAAGAAAACAAAGCTAAATTTATGAAATTTCACGTTTAACACAGAAAATTTATACAATGAAAACGATTACCCTTTTTCCCCAATTCGACGAACCCTAATTTCCCAAATGTGAGGAACCCTAATTTTAAAAACAGAAAATCACATCAATTCACATAATCAGAGAGACATTCCTACCTTTACAAACCGATTGTCACCGATTTCGAATCGAAACTCGAAGATCTGTTGAATTTATCCCCGATTTCGAATCGAAGCGTCGGTGGGGATGATAATCTGTAGCAGGAACGATCGCCGGAGGTAAATAACGTCGGTTGTTCCTCCGATTTGCTTGAAATCAACTTCAGTTTCCATTTCATCTTTGAAATCGCGAAAGAAAGAGAGAGAAGAGAGAGAAGGGAGAAAATAAATTAAATTTGCTCTGAAACACAGACACGTGTATGGCTCTTAACTATTTTTTTGTGTCTTACCTAAGAAACGATCTTAGCATTAAAGCTTGTTTGAGATTTAATTATAATCATTTAATAGCTAAGATTTCCTTAAGAAAACATTAAGCAACTGCCGATAATGGTGGTCTAAATGCCTTTTGAGTCTAAATTACATGGTCCTTTCGTCTTCCTCATGGGAAAATGTTTTTTCGTATCCCTCCTGGGAAACTGAAGCAGCGTGTTTATTATGGGGCAGTAACTGAATAGTCTATTTTTTCTCTTTTCACACACTCACGTCAGTTCAGTTCCAATAATATATAAATATCTTCCCATTTTACATGTTATAAACAACAATATATTTGACAAAAAAAAAAAAAAAACAATATATTTGACAACATGGCTTCTGGACATCGTCAACAAAACAAGTTAGATGCCAAATTCAAAGCTATGTTTGAAACCGAAGACGAGAAGTTCCAGAAGCTTCTTGAATGCTTAGAGCCTCTAAGCGAGAACCAGGTACAAGTTGACAGCTTAACTCTATCCGATTTGAACAGTATCTTTTTAACTGCATGCCAAATGGTTAAACATGTCCAAGTCCTCACCAAAATTCCTTTTAAAGATGTACGCGATAGCGTGTTAGCCAAGGCAAACTCATTAGGGATTTGTCCTCCAAGTCACGAAATGAATCTTCGTCACATTTACGAAGTTTGTAAATGGATGAAAACCGAAGCCGGTATTGAAGCCGTTGTGGAAGTGCAACGCAGCGAGAAGCTAAAGAGGCGAGCCTCAGTAAAAGGGAGGACGGTTGCTGAATCGGCTATGATCAGAGCGTTTAACGCTCAGTTTGCTGAGTATAGCTCTGAGCTAAAGAAAGCTCGTGCGGCTTTGGAGAAAGAGAGTGATACTGGTGTTCGTATCCGAGACAAGTACTGGCCAGTTTCTACATTCGATGTAGCCATCAATATTATTCATGAAGAGTCAGTTCTTGATTTTTGTAGAAAAGAGGAAGTGAAATGTGGTTTATACAAGTATGTTGAAGGATTGATTGAACGTAAAACGGTGAGTTTTGCTTTACGTGAAGCCGATAATCTTCGGGCTGTTCTCAAGGAAATGGAAAGTTTTGAAGTTCCAGTTTCGTCCATGGATGGAAATTGTCTTGTTAGTGATAAGAGCAAAGATATTGGATCGGTGCTTGGTCATGGTGGAGAATCATCGTCTAAGAGAGAGAGACGTCTTACTTGTACGAAGAAAGATATTGGACCGGTGCTTGGTCATGGTAGATAAACATCTCTAAGAGGAAGAGGTCTTACTCGTAACCCGTAAGAAGTAGATTTGACTCATTAATGGGATTATGTGAAATGATCAAAATTATAAAATATGTTTTTTTGTTTCTTTAGTCTTTTTTTGTAACGTTTTTTCTATTTGTTGTACGGGTCACTATTAAAGTTTAATCTACTGTTTAATACAAAAATTAAAATGTGTTTCTAAACGCTCAAACTAGAAGGTCTCCACTTGATCGGATCATGTTGATCAAGTTTTGAAATTTCATTTTATATATTAGGATGCTAAAAATATATACTATGATGTAGTGCCTTAAAAAATATAATGATTTGAAAAATTAAACCTTTTAATATAACCAATTTTTTTTATACAAATATTTTTAGTAGAACAAGTGTGTTATTTTCTCATAATCTTAAGTTGAGAATTAAGAATAACCTATGAGATAGTGGATAGTCTCAAAATTACGTGTTCTCCGTACTTCGATGGTTGATTTGTCCATTTAAAATAAACAATTTTTAATTTAATAATTAATGTTGAGTCTAAAAATTATTCTCCGAGGAAAACATAGGTGTGATATTAACTGGATTTTTAGAACAAAGAGAAAAAAAAACGATTATATATCATCAGAGAATTCCCTATTTTTCTGTTTTTTGTACTAAATATTAACTTTCTTTTTCTCTCAAAAAGAATATTTTTTTGTAATTTTAGATATGGTTAGTTTCCGATTTTTTCCGTTAATATTTACTAAAGATTCATTAGTACTAAAGATTTACTTTTATGACTATATCTAACAAGGAAATATATTGGATCGGTGCTTGGTTATGGTGGAGAATCATCGTTTAAGAGGGAGAGACGTCTTACTTGAACGTAGAAAGATATTGGCCCAGTGCTTGGTCATGGTAGAGAAACATCGCCTAAGAGGAAGATACGTCTTACTCGTAACTCGTAAGAAGTAGATTTGACTCATTAATGGGAATATGTGAAAATGTAATACTGATCGAGATTATAAATGCTTTTTGATTTTCTTTTTTTTCTTTAGTCTCTTTTTTGTAACGGTTTTCTATTTGTTGTATGGGTCACTTTTAAAGTTTAATATACTGTTTAGAACAAAAATTGAATATGTTTTTATAAACGCTCAAACTGGAAGGTCTCAACTTGATCGGATCATGTTGATCAAGTTTTGAAATTTCAGTTTATATATTAAGATGCTAAATATATATACTATGATGTAGTGCCTTCAAAATATAATTATTTGAAAAATTAAACCTTTTAATATAACCATTTTTTTTTAACAAATATGTTAAATAGAACAAGTGTGTTTATTTTCTCATAATCTTAAGTTCAGAATTAAGAATAAACCCAGTTAATAACTAATGTTGAGTCTAAAAAATATTCTCCGAGAAATACAAAACATAGAAATTTTAAGTGTGATATTAACTGGGTTTTTACAACAAAAAAAAGAAAAAAAAAACGATTATATATCATCAAAGAATTCCCTATTTTCCTGTTTTTGTACTAAATATTAACTTTCTTTTTCTCTCAAAAATAATATTTTTGTAATTTTTAGATATGGTTAGTTTCCGATTTTATCGTTAAGATTTACTAAAATTTACTTTTATGACTATATCTAACAAGGAAATAAATAAAAAATAAAAAGTAAAACAAAACAATTCTCATTAACTATTAATAACGACGTCTTCTATGTTTCGTCTTCCTTAGCTTTGCCATAAGCTCCTTATTTTTTACACTCTCTCCACAACACACAAAAATACATAAGGTACGATGATCAATCTTAACTATGTTTTCTCTTCAGTTTTTTCTCCAATGTTTAGGTTTTCAATCTCTATCTCTATCACAAACTCAAAACTATATTTATTTTGTATTTTTAATATTTTTGTTCTAAGATTTTTGGAGTTTAGTCGGAGAGAGAACAATGATCAGTTTCAGAGAAGAGACCATCGATCTCAACTTGATTAAAACAGTTAATATAATCTGTAATGATCCCGACGCTACTGATTCCTCTAGCGACGATGAATCTATCTCCGGCAATAATCCTCGCCGTCAGATCAAACCAAAGCCACCAAAGCGTTACGTCTCAAAGATCTGTGTCCCGACGCTGATCAAAAGGTACGAGAACGTTTCGAATTCTACAGGGAATAAAGTAGCCGGAAACCGGAAATCGTCGTCGGGTTTCAAAGGCGTACGACGGAGGCCGTGGGGGAAATTTGCGGCGGAGATAAGAAATCCGTTTGAGAAGAAGAGAAAGTGGCTTGGAACGTTTCCTACTGAAGAAGAAGCAGCAGAGGCTTATCAGAGAAGTAAAAGAGAGTTTGATGAACGATTAGGTTTAGTTAAACCGGAAAGAGATGTAACCAGGCCTTGTGGTGTACGTAAACCTGAAGAGAAGGAAGTTACTGACAAGTCAAAATGCAAAAAGGTAAATAAGAGAATTGTTACTGAGACGCCATTCGGTTGTGGTTATAATGCTGATGAAGAAGAGGGAGTGATTGGTAAAATGTTGGAAGATCCGTTGATGACATCCTCGATTGCGGATATTTTTCGTGATTCGGTTGTTGAAGCAGATGATATTTGGGTGGATTACAATTCAGTGGAATTTAATTCGATTTTAGATGATCTAAAGTTAGATTTTGTGGAGAATATTGATAGTGTAGGCATGGAGAAAACATTCGGATTTAAGATTGGGGATAACACTAAGGTTAATCAACACACGAAAATCGTATCGACGATTGCAGATATTTTCGACGATCCGTTGTTAGATGATTTTAAGTTAGAAGATTTTCCGATGGATGATTTTGGATTATTAGGAGATCCAGAGGATGATGATTATAGTTGGTTTAATGGTACTACTGATTGGATCGATAAGTGTTTATGAATACTTTTTTGTGACACGGCTTAGTACAAATCATTGAGTTACAAGTTCTTGTAATTCGTTTTTGATTTTGATGGTTTTGTAACTAACTATTATATAAAAGAGATTATCTCATAAGAGAAGCTTTTACTAGTATGAACTTTAGTTTCTTAAACTGATTAAGAATAAAGTTGTAACCATGTCATTGTAGGGATAACATTCAAAAGCTATACCAACTTGCACGAACGAAATATGTTCCACACGAGCTTTTGTCCCTTTGGACTAGCTTCTGGTTTCGTTGCAATAGCCTTTTTTTTTTTTTTTTTTTTTATGACAAGAATTCATACAAAGCAGAATCAGCGAGAATTCGATTCTAAGAGTCCATGGCTAAAGATCTTCGGACAAATCGACCTTTTATTCTCGGCCTTTTGTCGGCGTTAACCTTTCTAACCTCGTACCTTATCTTCTTCTCGAACAAACGATTCTTCCTTTTATCTCTGTATCTCCAAACTCTAGCTTCTCTTTCACTTCTGTTGCTTACTCTCTTCTCCTCTATCCCCTGCAACTGAGACCCATTAGCATAAATTTTATACTTAAGGGTGACTTTGCACAATTTGAAACTATATATGGTAACATTTTTGTAAGAAAAAGTGAAAGTTGGAGCTTACTGGAGGAACTAACTGCAAGTTACTTGTGTTGTTAAATTCAGTTTGGTTTATTGGAGATTCTTGTTTATCCCAAGCTGCTATAACATTTTCGTAATTAAGTTTCAGTAACATGTTCCTCTGCCTTGCTTTATTCTCATAACAATCTTCAATTTCTTCTGTCTTTGCTGAAACCGTTATGACATTGTCGTAATCCTTCTTGCAGCTCATCAAATATTGCTCAGGACATGCTTCAGCTCCATCAGTTTTAACTTCTTCTTCATCTTCTCCATTGTAACAGAGATCCTCCTTTGCATCAATTTCATCTTCAAAGTTGAATTGTTTCGTCGTTTCTTCAGTACCATTGTGGTTGTTTAAGAAGAATCCCATCTCTGTGAATCCCTCAAACTCTGGCACAAGTGAAGTCATATCATCATCATTTGGTTCCGGTATGAAAAACATCACTTCGCCTCCAATCTCGGGAACACGAGGATCTTCTATTCTTCTCTCATCATCTATCTTTTCTTGTGGCTTTTTCTCACACCGGACTCTAGGTGTTCTTGCTTTTCTTCTGAACCCGCTGTGCCAAACCGGGTTTGATGTTGTTCCTCGAAGCACATAATTCGATATCTCATTTGTTCTAAGACAAACTCTCTCATGTTTTGTCGCCACATGGTTTGCAGAATGCACTGATTCATCACAAACATGGCACAAGAAAGCATCATCCGAAGCACAATACCAAACCGCGTGTTTGTTCTTACACAGTTCGCAAGCTCGTTGCTGCTTGACATCAGTTTGGTTCTCCCAAATCATAATTTAATTTCTGCACAAAACATGAAACAGAATTAAGAGAAGATATTAAATTAGAAGAAGAGACTTGACACAAAAGGAGCTTTATCAGGCAACAAACACAGTAATGGTTATATACTTTCTGAAATTTTGATATTTTGGTGACTTGTCATGGGCTAAGAAGAAGAAAGATCTTAAAGTGAGAAAAAGGGGACAATGAAGAAGACAAGGGCTAAAGAGGATGGAGAATAATGGGCACTGACAAAGGAGCCTGCTTAGGTAGGTATATAATAATCTTTTTCGTTGGGATCAGACAAAGACATTTTCCTTCAGAATCTAGAAGATTTTTCACTGACACTTCATTCTTAGCTCAAGTTCTTGACTCTTTTTCCACACATGCTTAATATTCTTGAATTTTAACATTCAAGTGTTAGTGAACATACTTATATAGAGCAGATTAGTCTTCAGAGAAGGTAGTGAAATTTGAGAAGGGTAAAAGACTTGTGAATTATTGAAGTTTGGCCATACCCATTTTTGTTAGGTTGTACAAGGAGAAAAGACACTGTAGTGATGAATTGGCATCATGTACCGAAGTTGATCCAAATCTTTGCGATCTTATTGGTCAGACTTGGATTATGTTTTTGGGTCTTTTACGGGTTCTTTTCCTTACCCATTCTCTAAGTTTTATCTTTTTGTTTGTGAGTCTTTTGTTTTCTGACTCATTTTGTCTGTGGTCCTTACCTGTCTTTATCACCATTTAACATATGGTAACAGGACTCCATAAAAGTTTGAACTACTATGAGGTTAATATAACTTTCATGAATTATTTCAGAATAGAATCCATTTAGACAATACTAAAGAAGTAAAGATTTTCCTACAGTTTTGAAATGAAGGGAAAGTATTGAGTTTTTTTTTTCCCCATAGTATTGAGTTTTTACAGTTAACTCTTTCTTTGTTTTATCAGATAAGGTCTTAATAACATACTAGTATTTTGGCCCCTGCTATGCAGGGCCATAATTTATTTTAAAATTAAAATTGTAATAAAAATGGATATTCAAAGTTGGTTTGGTGAAACTGAGTGAAAGAACAATTGTGATAAATAATTGAGATATATATGGTGATTTGGAGAAGAGTAGTTGATAAAAGTTATGAAAATGAGAAATTTATTTGAGGATCGTGCAAAACAAAGAACTCAAGATCGTGGTTTCTTTTTTTGTGAAAAAGTGTCGATAAGAAAATATTTAAATGAAATATAAAAAAAAATTGTGTAGAAATTGTGAAGGACCCAATTGTGAATGGTCGTAAATTAAGGATTGAAAAAGAGGAGAGAAGCCGTTGCTGAAAAAGTGGTAAGTTTTTTATTTTTTGTCAAAAAAATATCTATTAAATAATAATAGTAGAATTGGTTTACGAAAGTGAAAGAGCAAAATTTGAGACTTAAACCCACGTGGTAGAAGGAGAGACTTGCAGTTTTTGAAAAGTGACTGTTGATTTAGTATAATTAGATATATTGCAAGCAGAAGACTTATATAATTTACATGTCAGATAAATCAAAATAAGGCAGAGAGACTAGAGTTGTGCTTAGTAAAAAGGTACTTCATTATTTCGAGAAACAGGGACTCAATGTACAACAAGCCAAAAAGGATATAAATTATTTGAAAAACCGAAGCTGAGCTTAACTAATTGGAAGTCCTAAGTCCAATTAGTAAAATATGTATTACGAAAACAGAAAAGCATAAATCAAGTAACAACCTTGATGTGGAGCATTAACTTGCATCAGAGACTCCATTCATGTCTGGTAATTCACTCACCTGTGTCATTGGAGCAAGAAGAAACCTTTTAAATCTTTGAACCAAATACACAAATCATCATATCCAATTTGAACTGAGAGATTTTGACTACAGGCCTTAACCCTAGTGGAACTATTGTTTATACCAATTAAAACCTAAATGTTGGAACTCTATCCTTCTTCATACAGTCCAAAACATGTCCCATCTCTTTAAATTCATCCATGAAATTCCGTGACTAGGTTTAGCTCTGTTGCAGATTAAAGAAGGACGCAATTGCAAGCAGATTGGTATCTATCATATCGGCCCATATGTCCCCAGAATTGAGTCACTCCAGATCTATCAATTTCATTTCTATACAGTCCAAAACATGTCCTGTCTCTAAAACCACCAATGAAAATCCATGACTAAGCAGATTGATATCGATAATTCACCAGTGCGTCAACAACTTCGGCAAAACTAAGTCACTCTAAGAACTGATCAATTCAAACATATAAATATTCAAACGTCCATGTTCCAATATTCTCCCAACAGTAAAAACTACAAAACGATTCATATAATAGGTCCAGTTATAAGATACTCTACAAAAGGAATGCTAAAAAGTCTAACCTTTATCTTCTTCAACATATTAACAAGTATTGGTCAAGTGCTTCTAAGCAATACACACTCCATAAATCAACACCAGTTACTTACCTAAGATCAGTCACGCACACAACATTTATTCAGCTTCTTCAACAGCTACTGGCTTAGGACCTGATTTGACAAAATCAATACAACAAAATTGTTCAATACATATATCTAAAGAAAGAATCAAATTCAAATCCAAATCCAATTTGAGACCACTCTACATCAAATTAAAATCCAATTCATTCAAAGACACTAAAGAGTAACTTATGAGTTCAAATTTCAAAGACTAAGGAGAAAACAAAACCCTAAGAATTTTAATTGAAGAAGCATTTCAGTATTTCACCAGTGTGAGAGAGAACGCCGGAAAACTCACCGTGGAGAGAGATAGGACGGTGGTCTTTGCCCCAACCGACGCCGCGAGTGGCGTCAAGATACTGCTGAACAAGATGACGACACTTCTGGTAATGGTTAACGCCTTCGACGCGGTAACACCATTTGACCTTCTCGCGCAAGATCTTAGCCTTCTCGATTTGGATCCATTTCTCACGAACAATGTGTTCTCTCCTCTCCACCATCGCAACCGGATCCTTGTACGGATTCTCCGGATCGAATCCATCCGGCGGCGACTCTTCGAACTCCGGCAATCCCTTCTTCCTCCCCATCGGATTTTTGATTTCTGTTTCTGCGATTGCTTTTTCTGACTGATGTAATGTTTTGTTTTTATTTTGGGCTTTCAATTCTCTAAATGGGCCTCCATCCCGGCCCAGATAAAGCTTGGTAAGTTCATGATTATATATACTACAACTATTTTTTGGGTTTTCAAAGATACACTTAATAATCAACACTCTTTTTTTTTAATTTTGAAAATTTGAGTTTAGTTTAGCTAAGTGGTAAATCTCAGATAAATAGCCTGGAAACCCTAAAATACTCTATTGAAACTTACAATTTGTTTTAATACAGTAAAACCTCTATAAATTAATAATGTTGGGACCAAGAAATTTTATTAATTTAGAGAAGTATTAATTTATCGATAAATTAATAATTATTAATTTATAGAGAGATTTTCCTAATTTTGTAATTTCTTAAAAAATTGCTATCTAAAAATATATTTCTTTTCTTTATAAGCAATATTTTTTTTTAAAACCAATTGCAAGTGGAGAGCAATTATTAAGTTTAAAAAAAAACACAAACTTTTTTCGAATAATAGAGCCATATTTCATTAATTTTTTTACATATATTTTAAATATATATCATAGTAATTCATATATGACATATATAAATTTATATCATGAAATATGGCTCTATTATCTTGAACATTATGTATCAACATGTAACTAAAGTATAAAATAAGTATCTTGAAATTTCTAAGAAATTATGAATGTTATGAATCATAGATGAAAGTTTTTGAAACATAGAAATTCGAAAATCGATGTTATCGGTAACAAGAAAAAAGTTTAAATTTTTTTCTTTTTCCTTTCTTCTTCTAGTTAATGGGTTAAAAACTTGATTAAACAAAAAAAAATACCCATTTTAGTATTGTATTGAAGATCCGTAATTTTAAAATTGTCAAAATTTAAAATTAGAAAATTGGTTAGAGCCCCTCGTGGGCTCTTAGCATTCAAATTGGTCTAAATGGACAAATCTAATTTCAAAGGTCCTTTATTTCTAATTCGGCCCACTAAAGGCTTAGACTAGGTCCATAAATTGATTTAGGTCTTGCCTCTCTCTTTAATTTCTTCCAAAAATCTCGATGCATTAAATAAGGAAAAGAGTGGAAAACGATGAGAAAAATAAATAAATGATAAGACTCTTGTGCCCTAAGCCATAATATAAAAGACTCTCATAAATACCTTCTTCCTAAGCTGTCTAGGATTTTATCCGCTCTCAACTTTCTCTTTTTAATTAAAGAAACTAGATTTTAACCCGCGGTACACCGCGGGGCTATACTTTAAACAAAAGTTTGAAAATTATCTATAGATATAACCTATTGTTTTGTTTGGTTAAATATACTTACATATGTATATATTATATATATTACCCCGCGATACTTCGGGTCGATTTTTTATAACAATAATTTTTAAATTTTAAGTTGTATTTTTTTGTTAATATTATTTATTTTATTTAGTGTTTAAGATTATATAACTTTATTTGATTGTTAATCCTAGGATTTCACCCGTAGTATACCGTCCCGTATTAATATCGACCCAAACCCGTCCCACCATATAACCCGTCCCATGAAATTAAACATCATTTTGTTATATTTCTTTTTAATAATATTTTTATTTAAAAACATATACAATTCGAGTCAATTTATAAGTTTGCTTTAAAAAACATATAGTTGTAATGTTTTTATTATAATAAAGTAATAATATATAGATGTTGCTTACTATAGTTATAATCAAAACCAACTAAAAATCTAAGTTTAGTGTTGATTATGAATCATAGTCACGACCAAAAAAAAATTAATCAAATACAATTAGTGTAAATTAACTAATTAAGAAAACAAACAGAAATATAACAAAACTTGCTTTAAAATCGTTAACAAAAAAAGGAAACATCATATTTAAGCAAGATCTTTGGAGCCAAAATCTTTTTTTCATATCTTTTATTTAATTTTCCAAATCTTAAGAATTAAATCCAGTGGCATTCCATTGTAAATAGTAGTGAAAGCCAGAATTTATTTCATAATTGTATTCAAAAATGTATATATAGATTTTCACGTTTCCAATGAAAAAAAGATTTACTCTCAACGTTTGGCAAACTGAGATTTCATTCTCATGGTTTGACAGTTAAAGTTTATTATGACGAAAATACTCCTAATGAATTAAACCAAACAACACAGTTACTTTCGGTTTAGTTACTTTTTCTTTTCTTTGCGGTTTGGTTTTTGAATTAAAAAAAAAAAAACAATTACGAAGAAAAGGAAGAAGAAGAACGAGAGAGACTTGAGCCATACTTTGGCTTCTTGTTAGAAAAAAAAACCCCAAATTGAATTGAAAGGGGAATCTAGGGTTTACTCAATAATCGAGATGGCTCCCAAATCAAGCGACGGCGAGGCCAAGGATGGATCTTCAAGCGAAACCCAATCGACAGAGTACATGGAAATTTCCACGGGCGATGAATCTTCTATGCTGGGGAAGCGCAAGGTTGAAACCCCCATCCTGGAGGATCTCAGTGAAAACGAAGGCGACATAGAAGGTGTCGACGATGATAGTGATTCCGAATGGGATAAGGATAGCTTCGATGGTCTGGAATATCATTCCTGGGATGATCAGAAGGAGTATATCGACAAATATTTTGAGAAGAGGGCCCGTTTTTACAAGCGCACGGTCATCGAAACCAAAGTATGATCATCATTTTCATCTCTATACGTATCGAATTTTGAGTCTTTTATTGATTGGGTCATATAAAATCAAGTAACATTGTTGTAGTTAAATTTTTTGTTTTGGTTTTAGGGTTTTTTTGAGGCAACTGACGAATTCCCACCTTACCTTTTGGCTGGAATTGCTACAGTCCCTGGATGACCTTGAGGAAGGTTTGACCGTTCGTCAGTTTTTAGCAAACATGACATCTCTGTGTCTTGACAAATATAACAAACGAAAGGTAACATCTCTAGTTTGACTTTCAGAGTCCTAGGCAATATGAGATGAGCCATTCTTGTCTCTTGTTTTCGGGGATTCAATGTGAAGTTGGAGCATGTTTTGAGGGCTAATTTCAACCCAGGGGGCAGGACAACATACTACATCACATTTGCTGCTAGAGAGTCTGATTCTCCTGATGCACCTCTAGTGGAATATCAAGTTAAGGTGGATTGGTCTGCGGGCAATACTTATCCCATCCTTTGCAGACCCACTTCTCCACCAAAACTAGTTGAAGGTAGCCGAGGAGATCTGATGCGGTCATCAACCCAAGAACCAACCATGGAGAAGATTATGGGCGAGAAACAACAACCCAGGAGCAGCCAAGTGGGAATTTTAACCAAGTTTTATCCAAAACTTCAGGACAAAGCCAATTCAGCCTACCCGAGAAGACCCCTCAGCATTTTTCAGTCCAGACGAAGGCCAAGATCAATTCCTCCTGCCCAGAGATCACTTGGAATACATTCTCAGCTCAACTACCGACAACCACGAAGAAGAATCAGCCCAAACGGAGTTCACACGAAGGAGTTATTCAATTTTCAAACGGGATGATCCCCAACGAACTCGGTTTGGACCTACGTGCAGTTATTGGAGGATTCCGACCAAACCAGAAGGCGTTAAGATACAAAGTGAATTTTCGTACACTCTTGACTCATCAGAGGAGCTTTTCGAATTGGAGTCAAGTCAATACCGATTTTGGTTTAGAAGATATTAATTTTCTAAACCAGATGATGCTCAGCTTGCCTTATTTGGAAGCTGACGGGTTTAATTACTTGCAAACCAAACTTTAGCGTCCAGGAGAGTTTCTATTACAACTAGAGACTCCTAAGATCACCTCAAGCTTCATTCTCAGCCCTTGGATCAAGTGGATTCAATCTTTCCTAATCATACACCAAGAGTTACCATATATGGACCCGAGAGCATTCAAAGCCCAACCCCAACGTCTATGGAATCATCCAGAAGCTGTCAAGATACAAGATCCCACGAATTACTCCTTTTGGCCTAAGCATTCAAAGCCTAACGGCTAATATTCTTTCAAGGCACATCTCCACTTGATTTCTTTGATTTATTTCGTGTATTGCTTTCCTATTTTGAGTCATGAGACTGTTGTACCAATCCTAGAGTCGAGCCTATATAAGCTCAAGTCATTTCTTTGTAAAAACCACCCTTGATCAATTTTAAAGTAATAAGAAACATTTTCTTCTTGTCAAAGTTCGAGTCTTTGTCGTTTATTCATTAGTCTTAAGTGAGTGAGTCTCTTCGGCCTATTTGAATCTGCGGATTAAGTTTGTTGATAAGTTCAACATCCTTCTTTCGTTCATTGATCGAGTGAGTCGATTAAGTTGGCTCTACTCTTTAGTTTATTTCTTCGTAATCTACTCTACTCTGTTTGTCTTTATGCATTGTATTCCCTTTTTTCGGGCAGTTATATTATGAATGAATGAACTTTTTATTGTTTGCAGATAACATGTATGAAATACGTATGGTTTTGTGTACGTACACTGGTTTTGTACATAGCGGATTAAACTAGTAAAACGTACGACCACTTAGTATATTTCAACAAGTATGAAAGACTTTGTCTCTGGTGTACGTACACTAAAAAAGTACATAGCGTAAAACTAATATTACGTACATAGCCGATTAAACTAGTAAAATATACGACCACTTAGTATATTTCAACAAGTATGAAAGACTTTGTCTCTGGTGTACGTACACTAAATACGTACATAGCTGATTAAACTAGTAAAACGTACACAGACAATATATTTTAATAATGGCGTATAGCTGTACGTACAAGTAGCATATATTTTATTATTCATAGTTTTATTTGAAAAGAACAATAACTTTATATAGTTTAAGAAACAATACACTTCGTAAGCCTCAGCTGCGGTAACTAGCCGATGATCATTCAGTGACCCACTTGCTGAAGCTCTAATACCACACTCGAGAACATCATCCCCAGTGACTTTGTCTATACCATTAAGATTGGTATCCATGTACGTAACAAAATCACTTTCGCAGCATGTATCTTGTACACAGTCTCTAGTGTACGTACATTGGTACAAACCATGTTGACACGTACGTGTTGGAGTCACGGTTGGTGTACTGTCACCCAAATGAGAAAAGTTATCTCCGCCAGGTACACGATGACTTGTGTACGTACACTCTGCCAATAGACGACTGAATTCCCCTGGATGTTGAACCGTTTGTTGAGTGAGAATGACGTTCTCCTCAACATTCCCTATTCCATATTCTTCAACAATTACATCGTTCCACTTGTTGTAATCGTAATCTTCGCCAGTACCTTCACTACCGTCTATAGTAGGATCGAGGGTACTTCCCCCCATAGATCTATCATCACCCTGATAATCATCATACCCAGCACCATCTTCGTTTTCCTCCTCCTCTTCTTCATCCTCATATGTTTTATCGTATTCAACGTCGTCTTGCTCATCTACGGCCTCATTATTTCCATCTACATTTGAAGCCGCTACGATGGGATTTGGTGTTGTTGCACTCCCACACACACGGTAACTCTCACCATCGTCACCATCGGTCCTAGGGACAGTATTCCCGAGTGCCTTGACGGTTGTAATGAAAGAGACAAACAAGGTGACACTAAGATCCCCACCACGAATCAAAAAGAAGGTATTCAGGCTCATTTGATTGTTAATGTAGACAGGAGGGCGTTTACTTTCTATCATCACTGACATCTTTCCCGGCATCCAGTAACTAATTATTGGATTGCATTCGGTGGACTTCAAACTGAAAACCTCGCATAATGTACGTACAAATTCCGTGTACGTCATGTTTTCCTTAACACGTACACAACGACCAAACTAGCCTTCCCATGGTTCAAATTTCCATTCTTCTTCTTTGCATCTCCACTCACCCACCATAGTAAATACGGGAATATCCATTACCCACCTGCATCATAAATTCAGCAGAACCCCATTAAATGCAAATGAAAGCATGATTATATCTACAAAAAACAAAAAGAATTCCCAACTACACACTTATATACATAAATCTATCCTCATTTAGCATTTTCAACTAAAAAAATTGGAAATAAAAATATTCTGGGTTTTTATATAAAAACAATGTTGATTTCGAACACAATCAAGACGCTAGTGTGTTATAATAAAAAACTTCTTAACTAATTTCATTACTTACACGATCAATGCTTGTCTTGGCTCCAAACTTTGTAAATCAAGAAGATCAAAACTTCTCCAGCATCACATTCGTTCAAAATAATTTGTTTGTTTGATGGATCATGTTTGTCTCTTACAACTCCTTCAGCAAATAGCTCAGCTAGTCCATCAACATGTTTGATGTCCGCATCATACGACCTCTCCAAACAGTTACATCCTAAAAATGCCTAAATCACATAAGTCTTATACTATGTACGTACACAAAAATATTTACTGGAGCGTACATGGTACAACATTAATTTAATTTTTTGACATCAAAATTAAGTTATTATGTCAGTTATTTGTATGACTGTATTTTTTTCATATGTTGTTCATACATGATTTGAATGTTTTGTTTTTATAGTCAAAAAATATTTGAAACGTAAATATACAAATTATTTAGATATTTACGTACATATATACACACACATTACTACCGTGTACGTACACATTATTACCGTGTACGTATATATTATTACCGTTACGCACATATGTGTATATGATATTGCTAATCGTGAATAGTCTTCGATAATAATAAATAAAATATTATTTAAAATAGAAATAAAAATATGAAAATGGGTCTTATAGAAAAAAAAAGAATTTTAACTAAAAATATAAAAACAATATATATTTATAAAATGGAAAAGCGAATCATCTACTGACAAGTGTTTAAGATTTTAAACCACACACGGCTCTGTGTCACGTTAAAACATACTATTCCTCAATGTTTTTCTTTAGTTGTGAGGTTTGTTTCTACTGCTTCTCGTATTAGACATATGATTATGTAAATTGCGTAACTGAGCTGGAGTTTTGTGAGTCTCATTAGAGTCAATTTGTGTGTTGATCATAGTTGATTTCAATTATTTACTGAAAACAAATTATTAATATTTTTTTAATTGAGTTTGTAGAAAACTTGTATGAAATTGGTAAGATATTTTTGGTAGAAATATGTCCTTATTTGAGTTTTTTCTATTTACGTGTATGTAGTTTACGGTATACACAGTATTGATTATAAAATGGATATGTACTTCAGTTATATCATGTACTATTGTGGAGACGGTGTACGTAATATTTATAGAGTTTGTATTTTAGTTTTTCGACTTCAAAATACGCTAATATAAACTAGATTTACAAAATCAATAAATAAATTAAATGTAAAAAAACAAAAGATTATAAGAAAATTATGAACAGTCAATCGCATAACTGAACCGCATAACTGAACCGTGTACAGTGTACGTAACTGAACCGTACAGTGAACAGTACATCGCATAACTGAACTGCATAACTAAACCGGAACAGTGTACATAACTGAACCGCATAACTGAACCGTACAGTGAACAGTATATCGATACGCTGGCAGGGGTAAAATGGTCAGATTTTGGCTAAATTGTCAAAACTTGAAAGTCAATTCTCACTTTGCCAAAACATAAAATTAAAACTTGGTCTTATGCCAAAACATGCAATTTAACTCTGCCATCAAAGCTGAAGCAGCTCCTTCTGTTATTACGATTCTGAATAAACATGAGAAAGACATGACAAATCAAAAAATATCTGATCCGATGGAGATATTGGAAGGATTGGCTGTTCGTCTTCATAGGATTGAAGGAAAGGTGAATCAGATGGAAGAAAAGATGGACATGTTGATCTCATTGATTAGGTCAAATAATGAAGTTAAAATTGGCTTTGTAAAGGCCGAGGCAGAGAGCATGTTTGAGGATGAATCATCCTTTGATGATGAACCTTATAGCCGTTTTGGTCCTTTTGTCGGTGGTCGTGGTGTTGGTCCTTTTGTCGGTGGTCGTGGTGTTGGTCCTTTTGTCGGTGGTCGTGGTGATGATCCTTTTGTCTTTGGCCATGGTGGTGATCCTTTTGTCTTTGGCCGTGGTGGTGGTCCTTTTGTCGGTGGTCGTGGTCTCTTTGTCGGTGGTCGTTATGCTGGTGGTCGTTGTGGCGGTCAAGGATTTTGTGGAGCTTGTTGAGGTTTTAGGTGGCGGAGGAAGATAGAGACCTACTTTTGCTACTCAGTTTGAGCTTCTTTTTTTTTTTTTGTTTATTTTGTGGCAGTTTTGGCGGTTTAACTTGTGATATAATGCAACCTTTTCAATAGTTAGGTTTTTTCTTATGTTCTATAGTTATGGTTTTGTCTGAATGTTAAAGTCCTCAATTTTGAGTGCTTTTGGTGTTAGATAAACACAATGAAAACAGGTTTATTTCTTATGAAAAGAGGCAAGAAATATGTGTTTATCTCTGATGAATGGCATATTCTTATTATTATTGTGTTTATGTCTCAGCAATTAGTGCTTTATATAATGTAAATCCCAATTACCATTAGAAAATACTCCTTCTTTTTTTTATTAATCTTGGAGGAAACTTTCTACACTTGCAATGAAACAAGTATACAACAAAAGCTTTTTCTCTTTGACCAAACTATAATAAAAAAAAAAATGGAAAAAGAGAAAAGCAAAACAGAGGAATCCAAAACCAAAGTGTTGCTCTGTTGTTTAATTTACGTTACTCAACTTGTTGCATCTTCTTCTCGAAAAATCTATTTTTGGTCTTCATTGTTGCTTCTTCTCTTTTCCTCGTTATCTCTTTCATCTCTTCTCTGAACCGTTCTTCTATCTTTTCTAGCTCCTCTTTTAACCTCTCATCTTCTTCTTCTTCCTCCAAGCTTCCTGGTTTCTCTGCTTCTTGATCTTCTCTTGTTGCAGCTACGGTCGGGTTTGCTTCATCATCGGATCGTGGGCAATAATCAGAGGACAAAGAGTGACTAATGGATTCACCATCTTGGGAATTTGCACCGTTTTGATGGTTATCCTTGGAGCTCTGGTTCTGTTGCGGATGAATAAGATGATCGACCGTTACATCGGTTTTCCAATTCGGTATCAAATTGACGAGTAATACGTCAATCAGTTCCGCTATAAACTTTACGTTTTGATCCGTCAATTCAAGCTGTTCTACCATCTCACTCGATACATTAGAAGCAGTGTCACCTTCTTGAAAGAATAGAAAATGAATGTTCCTCACACGCCCTACACCGCGAAAAATAAGAAAAAAATCAACAAAACTAATCAAGCTTTGGTATAATATGCGAAAGAAAACAAACATTGATTGTTTCAAACTTACCATTTTCATCGACTATACGAAGAATTAGAGAGACAGAGTTCTCATCATTCTCTTCACCTTTAAGGACAAAGAAGTTGCCTCTCTTTGCCCGTCTAACCTCAATACACTTTGATCCTGAATTGTTGCTTGAAATAACAATAGGAAGGTTATTGTCTTCGTCAAGATTCATTGACATCGGTCTATTCCTAGCATTAGGTGGTCCTTCAGACATAAGACAACGTTCTCCGAATGATCCTTCTTTCGGCATTACAATGTCGGGAAGCGGTAATGGATTGTTCATAACTAAACCGTTCACATTGAGAAAAGAATCCAATAAAAGCTCCTCCGCTGATAACCTTTCGGAAGCTGGCAATAAACATTTCTCGATAAATTTCATTACTTCTGGATCTTTAACCTTTGAGAGTGAAGCTGGTTTAATTCCCTAAGTAAAGTATAAAAAAAATGGACTCACCAAGTAAGTTATTCATATATTGTTCGATATAATATAACCAACGGCAGAAACAATGTGAAAATATTGAACTTACCGATGAAACTTTTTTGTAGATTTGAGCAGAGTTTCTACATTCACAATAAGGATATTCAAAAGTCACCATTTCCAACATACACATCCCGAACGAATATATATCAGCGAGCTCGTTGTAGTTCTCATCGTAAAGCTCAGGCGCCATAAACTCGGGTGTTCCTGTTGGTTATTACACTTTCAAATTTTTGATGCTAAAAACAGAGAAAAACGAATTTGCGAACTATAAAAAAAAATCATACCAATCACACTTTTGGCATTAGCTTGCTCCATGACAGTAGCTAAACCAAGATCTCCTATTTTCACTTCTCCATGGTTACCGTTGATAAAAATGTTGTCACATTTGATATCTCGGTGTATAATCGGCGGATCTTGACTATGTAGATATTTCAATCCCGTTAAAATCTGTCTCGCCCAACACTTCACAGCCTTCATATTCACCTTTCTATGTTTCTTACGGTACCTTCAAGAAAACCAAGATTTGACTGCTTTAATCACAACTCCAAAACCGCTATTTTCGCAGCGACATAACAAAATATGAAAATGAGCAAAATACATACTGCCGGAGACTTCCTGAAGTGAACAATTCGGTAATTATGTTAACCGTTTTGTTCTTGTCATCGATCCACGAGTTATAAAACCTTATAATGTTTTTATGCTTCAGAGATTTCAAAAGCCGCACTTCGGAATATAGCCTCTCGAGACAATCTGGTGATTGCAAAAGATCGTCGATCCTTACTTGATTCCACGCAACTTCAATCCCATCTACTTCGTCAAATCCCTTAAAACTGATTATTTGTTCAAGAGAGTTAAAGAAATAATGAACTTAAACTTTTCTCATAGCATAAAAAACGAACTCTGATGTCAAATCACACAATATTAGTTTGGGAAAAAAAAGAACAGAGATTATGTAAAACAACAGAAAAAGGGATACACTGTCTTGGATGCGCCTTTGCCTATTACTTCTTTGTACTGAAAGATTTTACACATTTGAATGTGTCAAGGAAAAACAAAATGGAGAAACAGAGCAAATTTGTAAACTTAATATCAAAACTTTGAAACAATTATGCAAGAGATGATGAATTAATTACCCGAATATATCGACAAGTTGGGTCGATTTCAAGAACTTCTGGGTCAGGTGGTTCTACAATTGCAGAAGCATCTTCTGAACCTTCCATATCTTACTAATCTTTATTAGCTTTCTTCAAAATCAAACTTGTACAACAAAAAATGCAAAAACATATTCCTTTAGGTTCCTTTGAAGACGACAACACAAACTTGTAAAGGAAAAATAAAAATATAACTAAGCTTTTGATACATACAAATCTTATATCGAATTTCAGCTAAAATTCCAACAAATAATTAATCAGCTCAATTAAATATTGTTGACCCAGAATTTCTTATTGTTAAATCTATCAAGGGACCTAAATAAACCTTATATCACGTCAACGAACATCCATCACGTAAGAGAAAGACGCAATGACATATGTGCATATGAAGAAAATTCATCAAAATCAGATATTAACATAACCTTGAGATTAGAATTTACCTGGAAAAATGATAGTTCGTTATGTTTAAAGTTTATCCGCCAACTTAACACAAAACGAAAAATGAAAAAGAAAAAAGTTGGAACCCTAATTCGATAAATTGATCGAAGAAGACGCAGAGACAAGGGAAAAATATAAAATTAAGTGTTGTTCAATTAAAACACAAATAACAAAATTGGTTCCACCTGATTTATCTCTCCACCTGATATATATATATAGAAACCTAGCCCATGTAATTTTTATATATATCCAATTCCTCATGCAATTTCTTTTTCATTTTTTCAAAAATAAAATATAACTAAAACAAGGCCCGATCCATAGCCAATCCCTACTACGCGGGGTAACGCGATTTAGTGGAGTCGAACTCCGGTGGGGAAGGCGGAGTCAATTTTGGGCCTCTTGATCTTTTTTTTTTATTTTGTTTTGAAACATCTAATTGGGCATATTGATTATGTAATGTATATTTGTATAGTCTTAAGATAATACTCCCTCTATTTCGTTTTAGTTGTCGTTTTAGGACTTAAATTTTGTTTCGTAATAGTTGTCGTTTTAGATTTTCAATGCAAATGTTTGGTAAAAATTCAAATATTATCCCTATTGTTTTAATGTTTTGGCCAATGAACAAATTTATAAGATATATTAATAAAGGGTAAAACATAAAATTTAATGCTTTTTTTAATTTGTGTGAGAAAACTTTAAACGACAACTAAAACGAAACGGAGGGAGTAATAAATAGGTTTTCGTTTTGGGAGTCGATCGCTTGGTGAGGTGACGCATGTTACAAGTGGCATGTGATCATTGGAGATTAGAAACTCAAATGGATATTTGTTTTAGAGTTTTTTTTAAAATCCAATCATTGATAACTTATCCTTTTGGTGGCTTTAAGCATCGTTTACCTGATCGGTATCTGAACAGACAAATATTCGCTTTTCATTGTGAAACCAAAAAAGAAGCAGATGTGTTTGTAATTTATGAGACAAGGATCGACTTCAACCTGCATGGCACGCGTCATCGCATAACTAATCAAATAAAAATATTGTAAGGGATATTCAACTATTATTATTTAAAACGTATAAATGCACAAATCAAGTAGTTTTAGAAGTATTTGTATTTTGGTTCATAAAATTCGACTTTTTTAAGTTTGTTGTTAAAGTTGTGAATCTTTTATTGAAATTTCTCATGAGTTTGTTTTAGCTTAAAAAAAAAAACAATTTTGCTTTGCTATGTTTCTGTTAGAACAAGTGGGCTTGTGATTCTTCGTAGCCCATTTTATCAACTTTTGGCCCATCATTGTTTATTCTCTTTATTCCATTTTCCCAAAGTCAAAAACGATTAGAAAATACAAAGACAAAATAAGGATCAACAGAGACAGAAACCATCATAAATCCAAACTTAAAATAAATACTCCAAGGATTAACAAACACATAAAACCATCCTAAACCCATAGTAAAAGTAATCACTCTATGACTTCAAATCAATTGAGACTAGACTAAACACAATAGTTCTATAACAAGCAATAGTCAACTTACATGGCATATAGACTCATCAAACCAATGATCTCTGTTAGTCTGTTACAAATCCTGAAACTCTTCAAACCATTCGTACCTTAAGTGAACATGAAGCATTTAGCTTTTCATGTTTTGTTTCCTCCATATAGTTAGTTACAGGCTTGGGGATCTTTAGGTAGGTTTTGATGCTTGGGACAAAGCTTGAAAAACGCTTTGTTGGGTCATATCTTCAACAATCACAACTTTATCTCGAGACTTAGATCCCGAACCGAGTGAGACTTGTCTTCTTTTCACCCCCAATACCTGTTAAAGATAACATTTTTCAAGTGAGGATGTTTTGCCCAAAGAAAAAGAAGTGAGGATGTGATGAGAAAGATTCAAAATCAGCAGCAAACAATTCTCACAACCTAACGCAGCACATAACCATTGCAATCCAAATCAAGGCAACAACTATGTTACATGTATCTTAACAAAGATCTTCCAAGTTAAGGTTTCATTTCTTTAGTCCATGGAAGCTCACAAGTGCAGATTCTTTTATGACTAATGGCTCAACAAGAAGTGGGATATACAATGCTCAAAATCTATCAAAGAATGGTCTTTTATCCGTAATATGTAACAAAAGGACAAGAGCTAATCAATTTCATCAAAGATTACAGAGACACAATTCTACATCACATTATCAAACAGCTTCAAAGAACTTGAAAGGTGAAAACTTTATCTGAGAAACAGAAAATTTACAGAGCTAATGAACTCGAGAAGAGCAGCGTTAGCTTCACCATCTCTAGCCGGAGCGTCGATTTGAACGCCGACCGCTTCGTCGCTCACATCTCCAGATCATAGAGAGGAAACCAAATCAGTAAAAAACCGAGACTTTACCCAAAATCAGACCGAGGAATGAAAGAGGAGATCATACCGGTGATGGAGGCGGCTTTGGAACCTGGCTTCGCATGGATGGTGATGGCGACGGAGGAAGGTGTAAGGAGACGCAAACACGCCGGAAAGATCGAAGATTCTGTGACCGTCGTTGATTCTGCCGCCGATTTGGTCTTCTTTCCTTTCTTCGTCGGAGCCATTTTAGTTTTCTCGATGAATCTTGGGTTTATGTTGTAAATAGGCTTTTTGATAAAAGGCCCTTTTGGGGTTGATTTGGGCTTTGGAATGAAAAAGTGAACAATTCTAAAGATTTAACATAATTTTGGAGAAGAGGCTGGCTGATTAGAATGACCAACCGACAAGCACCACCCCTAAACACGTGATCAAAGCACATGGTAGAAATGACCGGACTAGTGATGAAGCATTGATCCACATTGCCTTTTCATCGTTAGTACAATACGTTGATGCTCTCTCCTCTTGAAATAAGATAGGAGGTAGGGACTCCAGTTACACGAGCCATTTCAACAGTATTGTATATATACATCAGTTTTTCAAGAAGCCTCTGTGGGAGGTATGCATCCTGTAACAGAAAACACGAATGCAATTTGAGGTTTTATCTTTTTATAAGATTCTAATACTGGACTAGAAACAGAGAAAAAGAACTGTTGAAACCAAATAGAAACAGGACAATTACTGCAAGAAAGAAGTGACCAATAAATAGAACAAAATCAAAATTCTGAGAAACCATGGAAACACAATGGTGTAAACTATATCTTCTACACTCAAAATGGTTAGACTTGTCACAACAGGCAATTGGCCTTTTAGCTTAGGTAATGTCTAACAAGCAATGTGACAGGACAGAAGTAACAAAACACCAACATAAGACCAAAAGGTCCAAAACAGGTACCTGCAAACAATAAATCGCAAGACGCTTCCTTGTTCAGCATTCCCATTCTGATGATCGGTTATTATAGAATGGTGGACATCTCTTTCTGAAAAAAGAAAGTCAGGTTAAATACAAAGAGCCTGAAAATAGAGTTTATACAAAAGAAACACCACCGCTGATATCAACCAATAACATAGCAAATGAAGTGTTCAGTGTTGCAGCTCTCTGAGAATCTTCTATTCCCAGTGTTGCAGCTCTCTGAGAATCAGAAACATATTTGCTAGGTTAAATGTCAGTCTAGCTCAGCTGAAATACAAATATAATGCATGCTTCAACTAAATTATTTACATGGATACAGGCACGAGATTATATACAAGGATTCAACAAAAGTTTTACGAAGACTTCCATCTTTTTACCTCATGGACAAATCAATCATAGCCTCAAGAACTTGTGGTTGTAGAAATCATCGAAAGAGAGACGAGTAACTGCAGAAAATGGTAACCAAGAACTGAATATATATAGCGATATGTGTACACAGTGTAGCCGCAAACGGATGAGATTTTTCTATACCTGGGTTAATAGAAAGCAATCTTGAACAGACGTCGATGCAATCAGGATGCATCTGTTGAAGAATCAGCCGAGAGAAGGGAAGAGATGTACTAGATTTGATGTTCCTTAGAACCTATGGTGAGTGGTAAAAGGTTTTAAATTTATGGCAATTGAGCTTTTTTGATCAAACAATACTACTAACTAATTCAAGATCTCACCTGAACATTGTTATTACCCCGGAATGGTGGATACCCGTGAAGTAGCTCGAAAAGGATTGCTCCTACACTCCACATATCAGCCTGCAGTGTTTCACAGTGAATTTCAACTGCAAAACCTTATCATTCAATAAATCTCATAAAACACTGTCGCACCTTTTCATTGTATCTCTGAAACTGAAGAACTTCAGGAGCCATGTAAAACGGAGAACCACAGACCGTCTCAAGATACTTTCCCGGAAGTAGTTTTCTGCTTTCGACATATACACCTCAAATGCTATACATAAGCATGTTTTTCTCCTCAAACTTTTTAAAATTTTTACCTTGCCAGACTAAAATCAGCAATCTTCAACACCAAATCATCACCAGATCCAACAATTAAAATATTCTGTTCCAATCAAATTACTGTTGTCACAATTCACAATCAAACTTGAATTCAGATAATCTATAAATCTAGCAGTACCTCAGGTTTCAAGTCTCTATGGATGATGTGATTATCATGAATAATTTCCAAACCAGCTCCTTCATCAAAACATTGATAACACTGTTAATTCCTGAGGAAGCAAATGCATTAAAAAAAAATCATGATCCTGAAACTCTACATACCAATTTGCTTCAAAAATCTCTTGGCGATATCTTCTTCAACTCTACCATGACGTTGAATATACGATGATAAAGTTCCTCCATCACAATATTCCATAACCATAACGAGAAATTCCTCATCCTGAAAAATACAAACACACAAAATTTTGAAAAATTGAAGAAAACAAATTCACATATTGAAAGACTCAGATTTGTGTTAGTACTTGAAAAACATGGAGGAGACGAATGATATTGGGATGATCAACGGAAGATAGAAACTCGAGCTCGTTGTTTAAGCAGGTTCGGAGATTGCGATTGAGTTTCGAGAGATCGAAACACTTCATCACTGCTTCTTCTCCGGTTAACTTGTGCTTCGCTAACCAAACTGTTGACGTTGAACTCTCACTGAGCTTCGATTTCGCAGTGTAATCCTCCAGCATCATGATTGGTTTCCAGAGATTATCTTCTTCAAGCAATGAAAGATAAATTTTCCATTGTTTCAAACAAAAATGAAAATTTGGTGAAAAGAAGTTGTTAGATCCTCTTGCGTCAGCTTCTCGTAAATGGATAATGTTAGTGTTACGACGTCGTTTGATTATGTCCAGATTAGGCCTTGAAAAAATAACCGAACCATAAGAACCGAACTGGAACCGAAGAAAAATAACCAAACCAAAATTTTAAGATATTCAAATGGATCCTAAATTTTAGAACCGAAAGAACCGGAACCGGAACCGAATCGAACCGAAATATTTCGGGTACCCAAAAATATCCGAAATATGAGTTTATATATAAAAATATTAGTTATTTTTAGATCGAATAACCAAAAATACTCGAAATACCAACAAATATTTGGAAAATATATAAAAAAAATACTTAAAATATCTAAAAATACTCGAAAATATCCGAAAATATCCAAAAATATCCAAAATACCTAAAATATCCGAAAGAAAATATCCGAATGGATCCTAAACTTCAGAACTAAAAGAACCGGAACCGGAACCGAACCAGAACCGAACGGATACCCGAACGCCTAGGCCTAGTCCCGATTACATATAAATTTTATCCATTGCGATTTTTCCGGTTCATACCAAAATTTTCTAATTTGTGTCAATTCATGCAAATAGGTGACTGTACGAGCTAAACCGATAATGTGGATTATACACGTAGTTTCTCATTAAAACCCTTTAATGTCACCTATTGAAGTAAGATATCTAGCTTCAGGTGAAGTAACGGCAACCACAGCTGCAAAAAAATCATGTCGTCCACATCATCGATTTAACTGGTACAGTTTCTGCATTTGTACGTATGAGGCTACACAAAGTAAGAAATTTAAGTATGAATTCGTACAAATAGGGTAGTTGACTTGACGTATGAATTTTAAGAGGTATACACTTTATGTATAATCTCTTTCCGTGTAGGTACGTGATTCGTTATAGGAGGCAGTAGGCACCAATGTCTGTAAAAGAGTTTTCACTTAGTGAAAGGTATTTGTTTTATTAAAAAAAGTAAAAGTTTGATAATTAACGTATATGAGTATGATCGATGAATCGACTTCCCATAGCTATAATGAACTTTATAGCTCATAAATTTTCTTATATGTTGAAGAATACTCCCTCCGTTTCGTTTTAGTTGTCGTTTAAGGTTTTTTCAAACAAATTAAGAAAAACATTAAATTTTCTGTTTTACCCTTTATTAATATATTTTATAAAAAAATTCATTGGCCGAAACATTAAAACAGTAGGGATAAAACTGGAATTTTCACCAAACATTTGCATCGAAATCCTAAAACGACAACTATTATGAAACAAAATTTTAACTCTAAAACGACAAGTAAAACGAAACGGAGGGAGTATATGTTTTTGCTCTCATTTACTAACTGCAAGAGATTTATTTCTTCATGTCATGCAGTAAAACTTTAAATGAATGTTTTTGAAATCACTTAAAAACGAAAAAAGAAGTCAAAAAGACCTCAAACCAACCAAAGTAAATTGCATATATACGATCTACTTTTGTTTTTTTAAATACAAAACTGATAAACTATAACCGAAGACGACCAAACTTTAATTTACTTAATATAATTACATACTTTTTGTAAGGTAAAAGATTTTATAGAACATAATAGCTGTAAAAACCGAACAAAAATACCGACCTGATTCTAAAACCCTAAATCACAAATCTAAAACTAAAATCTAATCGAATAGTAGAATATGATTCTATAAAACCCTACCCGAGATTTAATTTTATAATCCCCTACGAATCCTCCATTTTCATGGCTGACTTCCCATCTCCATTAAATTTACAATCCAACTTTGTGCACATATCAAACTTGAACCTTTAACTTTACTTTAGTGATTTGAGTTGAAGAACGACGCTTAGTCTCATCCCTGTTTGATTATCTGATTTATGATTTCATGAATCCTTTCGAATTTCATTATCCCAATGCTTTTTATATATTGAGTTTTTGTTTATTGCTTTCTCTGTTTATTATTTTCTTAATCTAGGAAAAATTCAATAATATCTATTTTATTGTCTTAGCTCTACTTTCATCCTTAAAACTCATATTGTAACTTTGATCCTTGTGGATTCGATCCTAAAGTGTTACATTGACATATCGTTCGTTCGTGGTAGTGTGCACATTAGGTTTTAGTTGACCTTTGATCATAAACCAATAAATACAAAGCGAAGACGATTAAACCTTGCCAAATCAAATTACATGTTGTTTTTGTATGGTAAAAGTTTTTAGTAAACAAAATAACTATAAAACCAAATAAGAAAAGATAGCAGACAATAAAATATAGCAAGCAACAATGTAGATTTTTTTTACATGTCGAGATTCAATAAAGCAGACTAAAAAAAAAAATTGTAATTTTTGAATAATATGAATATATTTGGTATATCTTCATCTCTACTGACTCAGGAAACCCTAATCGGAAGTAATAAACTAGAAATCTCTGAGGCAAGCACTAGAGAAAACCTACACATTGCATTGTTGGTTTTTTTTATAGAATTTTTTGTTGTTATTATTCAATATATAGCTCGTTTATTAAAGAGAGATAAATAAAAAATCATAAAACAATTATACATAAATATATGTGATGGATCGTATCTCGCTAGTTTTAAACCTTTAGTTAAATATTTAATGGACTCTATCGCATCTCGCTAGTTTTAGACCTTTAGTTAAATATTTAATGGACTCTACGTGTTCGACATGTTTTTGTGTTTTGAGTTTTATACCCTTCTATAACTAGGGTTTGATTTTGTATTTCTTCAAAATCAAATATTATATCTCTTATAAATAAAATTTAATCGAGCTTCAGTACAGCAGGCGACGAAAAAAAGGATTTGTGAGTTTGAATAATGTAAAGTTCTTTGATATACCTTCATCTCCATTGAATCATGAAACCCAATCGGAAGTTATAAATTAGACAATCTCTGAGGAATGTACTAGAGAGAATCTACAGATTGCTCCATTGTGGGTTCTTTTTGGAAATTTGCGTTGTTATTATTCAATATATTGCTTGCTTATTAAAGAGAAATCTATAAATCGAAACATTGTAAAAATTTACAGAAAGATATGTGATGGAGCGCATCTCGCTTTTTAAAGAATTTTTAGTTGATTATTTAATGAACTTTACATGTTCGACATGTTTTCGTGTTCTTAGTTTTATTTCCTTTTATAACTAGGGTTTGATTTTTTTTTCTTCAAAATCAAATATTATTTGTAATAAATAATCTAGCTTCAATTTAGCATACGATAAAAAAAGAAGGTATACTCACATTACTCAAAACTCACAAAAGCTGATAACAACATGGGCAAGATAAATGGATTTCTCCTCAAATATAGTACTTTTCAGAGCACGATCCTCTCTATTTGGAGAGAAAGGAATGATAGACGACATGGAGAACAACCTTCCACGATGAAGAAGCTTGTTAAATTCATTGATAAAAGCGTTTGAAACCGGATGAGCTCAATCGTAAGAGGAGACTCAACATTAATTTGAGGGTGGCATCCAGACTTGGTTTGAAATGTGCCAATTGTAAGTGCATCAAGGAACTTGAAAGCCTCTTCTCTGCTTTTTTGTGGTCTGGACCGGTTTTAAACACAAACAAGGCGAAAGTTGCTTGGGTTGATGTTTGTAAACCAATAAAGGAAGGTGGGCTGGGATTAAGAATGTTATCAGAAACAAACACTGTGAGTATATTGAAGCTTATATGGAGACTTCTTTCAGCTAAAGACTCTCTTTGGGTAAAGTGGGTAAGCGCAAACTTGTTACGTAATGCATCGTTATGGTCAGCTCGAGAAACCAGTAACACAGGTTCCTGGATGTGGAAGAAAATTCTTAAGTATCGTGATAAGGCAAAATCTTTCCATAAAATGGAGGTGAGATCAGGTTTGGGAACCTCTTTTTGGTTTGATACTTGGTGCTCACTTGGGAGACTGGTTGAAGTTTTAGGTCCACGAGGTTGTATTGACTTTGGTATCACGTCTACTTGCTCAGTTGCAGCAGCCCTCTCAACACATCGCCGTCGTCGACATCGTAATGACATGCTGAACCGGATAGAGGATGAATTGGACTCCCTGAGATCACGGAATCCTCAAACTGGTAATGATATTTCACTTTGGAAATGAAACAATGGCTCTTTCAAGAGTAAATTCACCTCACAAGAAACTTGGCAAGCGATACGACAAACTAATCCAGTATGTGATTGGTACAAGGGTGTATGGTTTCCCAACTCCACACCTAAGTATTCTTTCATTACTTGGATAGCCTTCCGGAATCGCTTAGCCACAGGTGACAGGTTGGTGAAGTGGAATGCTGCTGCTAATGGATGTTGTGTATTTTGCGATGAAGATATAGAGACGAGAAATCATTTATTCTTCTCTTGTTCTTACTCGGCACAAGTCTGGTCAGCTCTCGCGAGTGGTCTTCTTGGACATCGATTCACAACAAGTTGGGAGGCCTTGGTTCCCTTACTCACGTCTCTTTCTACTCCAAAACTTCACTTATTTGTCTTGAGATATGTGTTTCAGTCTTCCATTCATAGTTTATGGACAGAACGGAACGGGAGACGAAACGGGTAGCCACCAACTCCGGCCTCCAAGCTAGCTAAGCTGATTGATAAGAATGTTTGAAACCGGTTGAGCACCTTAATAATGACGCGGGCTCTCCTATCTACGAAGGTGGACTGCGATATTGGTTCCAATTTCATTCTTGCTAAGCTCTTTATTGTAATCTTTGCAAAAATTTCTCTCGGTTATTCGGCATGATGTTGCATTGATGGTAAAACAGTTTTTTTTTGTGAATACAATTTTACATTCATACAAAAAAAAAAAAAGTTTAAGGATAAATTGCTATTTAGAAGTTAAGAAAATTTTGCACTAAGATGTATAAACGTTTTTTTAAATATAATTTAACATTAGATTCAAAATATATATATATATATATATATATATTTTGTCTCATTAACCACTGATTTCCAAACCAAGACGAAGTTTTTGATTTACAAAAACAGCTATTTATTCAAAATT